TACTTTCCTCGATCAGGTACTGGTTGAACTCATTATTAGCTAAAACCAACTAATCGCTTCTCGCTTTTTTTTGCTAGGAAATAGCTTTCTTTCCTTTTTTCCCGGTGGGCGCTCATTTCTGCTAAGAGTTGTTGGGTTGCGATACATTAAAGGGATGACTTCAGCCCGAAAAGACGGTCAGTCGGAGAATTTTCAACCAAATTCTGTGGAAATTCAGAAGTGGTGTACAGGCTGGAGGCAATACAACTACACATGATGGGATGCCTCATGCGTTAGACTTGGCTGCCGCCTATTATTGACGGCCTCATTCCTGCAGTCCAGCGATCTTGGTGCTCATGGCTGTTGCAATTGCTTTTTTTATGTTCAGATCGCTGGAACGGGGTTGCTGGCATTTGCTGTAATGATGGTCATCGATCCACGCAATAAGATACCACCGGCAGCGCATGCTGTACTATTCGGCATAGCGCTTCTGGTCATCGGTTGCGGATTTGGAGCCAACTGCGGTTATCCGCTGAACCCGGCGAGGGACTTTGGTCCCAGAATATTCACTTGTTTTTTGTATGGAAAAGAAGTTTTCACGTATGTGTATTATATGCCCAACCGTATCTAAAATGCAAATTCATTTTTTACGCGTTTTTGCGATGCAGTGCCACTGTAGCAGTCAGCAAACGCGCATATTGCTGTATGCACGTGTGTGGGTTTGTTTATCCGGGTATTTTCAACTTGACAACCAAGTAAGCTTAAATGTTAAAGTTTTGCCAGTGGCCAAGTGCGGCTTCGGAATAGTGATGTCAATTTCCACACATGCCTGCATTTTGCCTACAGACAAATGAAAATTGGCGGGTTTTGAAATTAAGTAAGCTTGGAAGCTGAAATTTCAAAGGAATATTCCCTGTCCACAAACGATTCACAAAATTTAAATTCATTTTCCCTCTATCTGCTACTGGATCTCATAAATTTACGGCTAAATTTATAATGGAACATTTACTAACTGGAGAATCAGAAAAAGGTTAGGAAGCTGAGAAATTTCGGGAGATGTTTCTTATTCATGTGCGATCCCGGAAGTCAAAAAACAGTTTTAACGTACGCCTGTTCCTCATGTACAAAAAGAAATACGAAATTTGAAATTGCATGTTTAAAATTGGTAAGTAGAAAAGTTCAAATTTTTCGGGTCACGGACTTTGGCCAGTTTCTACATTAATGCATACAAGCTAGATTTCACAACCATCCACTTACAT